AGACCAAACTGCCACCTGCCTCATGGTGCTGGGAAATTAAATAGGAAAAGGCGAGTGGAGGGATTAGATGTCCAATCATATTTCCTCACACAGCTGGTGAATTCTGAGCTCTGAACAAGGTAGCTTTTATAGGCAATTTAGTCCCGAATTGGAACTAATCTTTTCTTTGATGTTTGAATTTCTTCCCTACGTTCTTACCATAAGAATAGTCCTTTTCAAACCTTGGAGATGGTTCCTCATATGTGCATCCTAAGATCTGATTGTGTGCACAAGGTGTATGAGCCTTTTGTGCTTCTTCATCTTTTTTCCTCCCCGAAAACAGGGTTTCTCTGTGTAGCCCTGGCTGTCCTGGAATTCATTCTGTAGACCAGGCTGGCCTTCAATTCACAGAGATCCACCTGTCTCTCTCTGCCTCCCGAGTGCTGGGATTAAAGGTGTGCACCACCACCTGATTCTTTTCATGTTTCTTAGACTTTAATCTTTTCTTCTAGAGGAAAAGTTAGTTTCCAGGCTCCACATTTTTTGTTCATTTTTTTTTTTTGCTGTTGTTACTGCTGATCAAAGCAACCTGCAATGCTTGCCTTTTACAACATAACAATGAAAAAATGGATTATTCAACGGCCAAACTGGTTTAGTCTGATTAAGGAGCTGCAGTCACTACAATTAGTAAATAACTGATTATCTGGAATTAAATACTCACACAAATCTCTTTTGGGTATTTCATTTTTTTTGCAAACAAAGTCAACAAAGTAAAGTCTATAATTTTCCACATGAGGCACCAGGAAAATTAATGCAGGAAGATTTCTTTGCAGTTCAGGAAGTTTGGTTCTAATAGTACTTTTCATCAATTCAGAACGTTGCTACCAAGGAAGCTAAATCTTGCTGCCACTCCCCAGCTAGCTTATAGGAGTGGATTGCTTAAGAACAAGATGGCCTTTTTAGGGAAGGACATAGGACCCTCAAATGTGCCAGTGCCCCATTCACACCCATCTTCTTCCAGCCAGCAGTGGGCATTCAGCCAGGCCTGCTCTGCCTGCCAGCATGCATGCAAGTGTGTATGTAGCATACCTCTCTGAATTATGTATTTATGTATACATGCATGTATTTATGTATGTATGCATGCACATATGTAGCTTAGCCCTCTGCATTCTGACCTTCCTAAGAACCCTGCTTCAAGCTCCTTGCCTATGCACCAAGAATCAGTGCAACTCTCATCCCCACCAATGGGAACTTTATGCTGGACTTCACCAGATCATCATCCTTTTGCCTGAACACAGACAGTCAGCTCCATGTCACTAGTAAGTCGTAGGGTGCATAAGTCTGCTTTCAGGTGCAGGAGCTTCAAACTTCTAGCACAGGGACTTGCCTACAGTAGGCATTCCAAAAGTACTTTATATTATAAAACACCTCTACAAGGTTTATAGGATCATCATATAAAACAAAACACAGGTGAGGAAGAAGGGGAGGCAGAGCAGGATGACCTGCCGTGGTGCTCCCAAAACAGTTTCTCCGACTGAAAAAATACAAGCAATTTACTTCTTCCAGAATGAGCAAATGTCTAGTTACTCTTTGTTCTTTCCAACCATATGAGGTCTACATGGGCTTGGAACCAGCCTTTTGCACACATGGGAAGCCAGAGGAGTTACAGGACCATAAAAGGCACAGGGTAGAGAATGGGTGATGCTATCAGGAGTGCTTTTATTGCTGTTGCCAATAATTTTCTACCCTAAGTCAGAAAAAAAAACAAACCTACTGAAAAATATTCCACACTGATTGAATAGTAGGCATCATCCCCTTTCTTCAATTTAATGAATTCAATTCCAGTTGTACCTTTAAGATGAATTTCCAACACTCACCCAAACCAGAAGGGAGAGAGAGAGAGCTGAGAACACACCTGTTGGAACCAAGAGCAGGGGGGGGGGAGGGCAGTGCTGGAAGCGGATGTTTAAATGGAATCTCTTCCACTGACAGTTTTGGATTATATATCTCTGCTTCACTTTTATTCCAAGCCTTGGAGGACAAAATACTTCTACCTGGACAAGTTCTATCTTCAGGCATGGCAATGGGGCAGGATGTCAGATAGGCAGAGGTTGGCTTGCTTCTATCCTCCCATGGGGGGGTTTCTGGCTCTTTCTTTTGTCTGTCTCTGCATTTACATGCTTGTTCAACCCTTCTCCCCTGCTACACCCATTTTAATGCCTTTCATCTTTAAGTCTGCTTTCCTCTTTTTTTTACTCATTGTCTGTGTATCTCTGTCTCTGCCTGGGGTATGTGGTCTGTCTTCCCCTGTATAATGTGCATCTTTCTGTTTCCTATAGTCTTATGTTTCCTCTCTGTGTCTCTCCTGAGACTTTTGCTAGGATACCTGGAATATGGATCAGAAGGTCTACTTTCTGGTTTTGGCACTACCATTAACTAGCTATATGGTTATGACCAAGTCACTTTACATCTCTGGGACTCAGTTCCCTCAGCTGTATAATAAGTTTTACTGGCTGCGTTTTTAGGCATTGGGAGCTTTGAGATTTAGTCACCAAATGAAATGGAATCTTTATCAGACAACCCACATGGCAGATGCCAGAAGTTCCCAACAGCACAAGCACCAGGGGGCACCCAAGGACCATGGAGAGAGAATGTGACTATGTGCTAGGCAGGTACTATGTTTGCATTCCATGTCATGAGGAAGGTGTATTTTATTGTCCTCATTTAGAGGTGGGAAAAAACAAAAACCCCAAAGCATCATGAGATACAGCAGTTCGTCTATGTCCTGCTGGTCACAGCGGTAAGACATGTTCAGAACAGGATTTACTGACTCCTGACCTGTGCTGCTGTCTGCCATTCTGCATTGCTCTGGCTGATGATACCTGCATACGAGCCTCCCATGCAGGCTACTGAGAAAACATCTTAAATATGCTTAGGTATCTTGGGTCCAGACTATGGGTAGGGTGCAAAGAACCCTCTCTTCCTTTAAGACATCAATCCTGACTTCTCATACCTTTGCCTGAAACTGTTCCATGAATTACCCCACATGTTGACTGTGGTAGACTTGGTAAACTTGTTCTTTGTATTTCCTTGTATCGTTACAATTATCTGACCAGGTATCTCAGCAGTATTTAACTCAGTTCTGGGCCCATGAAAAAGAGACCTGAACTTCTTGACTAATCAGTGAGTACCATGGAATGCATGAGCACTAAGACTGTGTCCCCTGTGTCCTCAGTCTGGACCAGGAACACCAAGAACCTCAAGCTATTATATCACAGTTCTCGTAGGCTGGTTCCACCATTCACCAATAAAACAACCACTGCATGGTTGAAGGACTAAGTATTCACTCAACAAAAGCAGGTGGAGGGGGTCCTCTAATAATTCCTGGTCAATTCACTAAGCATGAAGAGAACCCCAGTTTCATGTAGACACAGCTAAAAGCTATAAGGAACTCAGAAAGAAAGAAATCTCCCTTCTTGAGATGGGCACAAATGAGACACACACAGTTTTTAAATGACAGTGAGATTCAATAGTGAGTCACAGCAGGAGGGTGATGAGGAGCCCAGCATACCATCCCACTTGTACTGGTGGCCAATATTATCTTGGCAAGCCAGAGAGTTTATGGAAGTAGCCACACCCCTCTTTTGTCCCTGCAAGGCTAGTACCTCATTTGTCTGTCTCACTTGCAGGCCAGACAGCTTCCCTGGGTCCTGAGCTCTGGGTGATGAATTTATCTGGACAGCTCCAGATGGCATGAACAGGCAGCTGACTCATTTGCTTCCTCCTTCCTCCTGCCAGCCCCAGGTCTCAGAGCTGATTGGCACATCAGCGGTGCTCACCCTGGGGACTGACGTATCCTTATGATGACTCTATTACATGTCAGTCAGGAAGGGGTGCCACAAGGTAGTTAGGGGATCCCAAGAAGGAAAGCAGCCTGAAGGTCCCCGTACTCATGCTAACTCCCAGAATGTGTAACAATGGTTAAGGATGCTCTCTATCTTGCCTGTCCACCTTGGGTTCCCAGTGCCAGACTCCTGCCAACAGCAGTTGTGAACACATGTGACCAAGCTCTCACTCTCTCGTGCTATCATGCTCTTTCTGGATTATACTCCCACAGGAGAATGGAAGGAGAGCAAACTGGCACTTCTGGTATAGAGTACTGAAATCCCACAGGGGTCATGTTGACAGGAGTCTGACAGCAGGTGTTTACACCCAGTGTCTCACCCTGCATCCCCAATAAAGTGAGAGGAAGATGACCTTGGCCTTGATCTTGGGTCCAGATCCTACCCAGTTCCCCCTACTCAGTGTATGAGTCCTCTGGGCACGGCTCCCAGCTCCCCAAAGACAGAGAAACAAGAAAGCATAAGTGGGAAAGAATGGGTGATTTCCTCTGAATGGACATTTATGGCATGGCTATATTGTTACAGTCAGAAACAATCATTTCATTATTATCTGTGGGATGGAAGAGCAGGGACTAGCACAATAATACAAAAAGACAGACAAAGCCAAAGTAACCTCTGACCATGGGATATACAGGGATTGATGGACTTGCTTTGGAATAGGTTTCAAAGGTCCAGCTTTGTCAATAAATCACAAAAGTCCCTATGCCCCACCCCCATCCTTACTCTGTCAATCCACCTCGTCCTTGATCAAGAAATGAGTTCACTTTACGTAGAGTCTCTCTCCAGCAGAGCTTAGATGGCCCTGCAACATCAGAGTTGCCTACTGTCTCCCTGCCTGCATGAAGAGGACATGCGTTACCCAACTACAAGGAGCTGCTACTGAGGCCAAGCCTATTCCCCAACACTGCTTAGATCTGTCCAGCAAGATGCATGCCGTTAACAAGGCTAGTTTGTTTTGTCTTGTTTCCCTCTCCTGCTGTGTGTAGAGAAATAGCCGAGGGCTGAATTGCAGTGTTCCCTCTATCTATGCGGACCTCCTTGAGCCTGGTAAGCAGGTCAGGGTTGGAGCTGTCAGCATCCCGAGCAGGAGAACGGGACGTGGGTCACGGGGCCTGTTACCTGCTGCACGTCCTGCTGGAAGACACATAGCTGCAGCCGCTGGTGCAGCCGCACCTTGCGGTGTTGCCAGATGCTCTCGAGCCGCCGCTGGTGGTGCAGCACCTCATGTACCACGTCCAGCACCTGGTGCACCGCTTTGGAGTAGTTGGCTGTGGCTGTGAGAGACTCAGAGTTCCCAGGACTCAGGGGACGCTGCAGAACATCCAGCAGTGCTTTGCCATCCTGGCTGACCTGCGGGAAGGAAGGCAGTTCAGGTCAAGAGCTCTGGTCAAGGGAGAGCAAAAGCGGGCAGGGGCAGAGAGAGACAAGAAGAATCTGCCCAGGGGTTCCTGAAGAGGCCTGACATCCTCAGTCCTCAGCAAGCTCATCACAACCAAGGAGTGTGCCAGCCATGGTGTCTACAGTCTAGAGACTAACAGAACACCCAGGGTCGAGGCAGAGAGGAGCTGCCGGACTGCTGGCCAGCTGTGTGTGGAAGCCTCTCTTTCCCATCTCCAGCACAGGGCAGAAAGTCTGCCTTGTTCCCGGCCCTGTCCCTGGTGTCCACGATAGTGCCTGCCATAGTGGATGCTTCCTAAGTACTTTAGACAACTCTGACTACGTCGGCTAGCAGAACCCTAAATCTCTCAACTCTGTCTTCCTCAGCTCCCCTTGCTTGGCTCCAAGCTTCTAAATATACTAACAGAGGCATTGGTCCTCGGTATTCTTGTCTGTCATAGGGGAATAACAGGGGTGCACACTTCACAGAGTGGTGGTGGGTATTAAAGGAGTTGGTACATGCCGGGTACACAGGGCCCAGCACATAGCACTGGTTACCACTTTATCTTCATCTCCACCGCCTCCCCTGCTACGTTTTTTTCTCTCTTTTCATTTTCTGTTTTTGATCTTCATTGGTTCTTCCACCCTTTCTTCTCCCCCTGTATGTAGCCCCCTTGTTTTTCTTGAAATGCATCTTTCTAGCGTATGCAGAGTAGGGTAGGGACCTGCAGATTGTGGACACACCACTCAAGTAACTGGACTCCTCAACTTCACCCTCCATGCTGGTGGCAGTGGGTACTGTATCTCTGTCATTCCTGTCCCTGGTACCCCGCCACAATCAGTGGCGCTGCTCATTCTGGCAAGTGGCCATTGTAGGATCGACACCAATGGCTCCATAGTGCCTGCCAGAGTTTCCACTGAATGTATGCCTCTCCCTCTTGAAAAAGCGGATACTGGAAAAACTGAAAGAAATTTTACAGTTCCAAACAAATTTAGTTAGAATCAAGGTTGAAGCAGGTGTGGTATTGAAATGGCCTTCTCGTCCTACTTGGAAGGCAGAAAGAGGTATGTTTCCTTATTGTCTATGTGATGAGCCAGGAGCTGACCCCATACTTCTCCACAGTCTTAGGTGGAATTCCAGAACACAAAATGCAGCAACATTCTTCTAATGAGGGTAAAAATTTTGTTGGGGCTAAAAGAAGTGACATGGTAGAGTTAGGCTACGCAAAAGAGGAAAGCATCGCCCCCCCCCACAGCCCTGCCAGCCCCACCCCCTCAGTTAATTGCTAATGGGCAGGCAGCATTTAGATAATGCAGAGATACTCTCCATAGATGTGAACAGATGACGTCCTAGGGCTAAAGCCAGGACAGTTGTCCATGGGGAACTCTGAACAAATACTGTATCTTGACACGCTGCACAGGGCTGGGTGGGGAAGACAGTAGACCAAGTCCTAGAAATTTGAATCAACATAAGATCCGTCTCTGTGCCTCAGTCTCCACAACTGTATAGGTTTAGAGGAACCTCCCAGCTCCACGAGAAGATGGGGAATCAGTTTGTCCATATGTGAATGTCCCCTCTACCTCATGGCCATGAATGCATGGTGTACAGGCATCAACCTCATCTGCTCTCTACTTTTGTACTTTACGAGGAGTAAGCTAGAGACCCGTGAGCCATGAGTAGAGGCACGGCTCTGTCATAACTGTTGGGGCCATCTGGATCAGAAGTGGATGTTTGATTTAGCTTAAAAGTACCCTGTGTGCGTCTTGTCTTGAGAAAACGCTTCACCATATTTAGTCCATGCCACTGTCAGGCCTCAGCCAGGCACATGGCACCCATTTTATGAGCTTTACTCCACAGAAGGACCTGAAACCCAACTAACAAGCAAGGGAGCCCAAGATTCAAACTGTCTTTACTGTGGTAAACCCCTCCCTTTGACCGTGAAAATTCACCTGGAGCAACAGTTATTGAAACGTAGGTGATAATCCCCAGTTTCTGACATTTTTTTTTCAGTTTAGAGCAAAACCCTGAAGACGGCATCTTCAACAGCCACCTCAGAGCAATCAGATGCAGGCAGTCTGGGAAGCCATTGTGGCAAACACTTCTCGCTGACCTTGTCCCAGAGGAGACAGGCCAGCCGGATCTGAGATCAACTGTCTCTTCATCTGGCTTCCTAACCTAGCCATCTCTTTCAGTCATACTTTTCCTTGGAATCCACACTAGTTCACAAACATTCACACTTGTGTTTTTCCATGCATTTGTACATGCGGTCCTTTGGGAGTATCACACAAATTTCCATTCTCACCGTTCAGCATCTCCTGCCTTTGATTTTTATTTTTAAGTGGAAGGGCCTTTCTGTTTGTCCTTTGCATGACAGTTTCCTACTCCTGCACGCTATGGAATATTCTCTGGCCCTTCCAGGAACAAAAGAGTATTGCTCAGTGAGCTGCGTTTTTTTTTTTTTTTTTTTTTTTTTTTTTTTTTTTTTTTTTAAAGGGGGGCAGTTTCGTGAGCTGGTGTTACACACTCTTTTTCCAACATGAAGGCAAACTCAGAAGAGTCAGCCTTGCTTCCTCACACCCTCCTTCCCTCAGGAGGACATTCACTATCCACACAAGGTGAAGGGTTGTCTAGGCCCATATGAAGGGGGAAGAATGCACCAGAGTGGGCCTGGTCAAAGCTCAAACCATATCTGCCCCTAGCTAGAGACTCCACAGCTCACAGGCCAAGGTCCCTAAAGACATTTTGGAAAAAAGAGTACTTTCTTTTCTTAAAATTCAACCCAGATTATTCTACAGCACACACAGACTGCTCTAGCCCCCTTACCCAACACACACACACACACACACACACACACACACACACACACACACACACACCCATGGTTGTCCCTCAGGCCCTTACCTCTGTGTAGGCCTGGGTCACCTGCTCATACAAGGACTGGTGATGGTGGATTGCCAGCTCCAGGTCCTGCATCTCAGAGGGAAGGCCGCCTTCACTGCACATCTTGCACCAGGCATCTACTCCTGACAGAAACTGGAAAGAGATGCCAGGTGAGTGAGTATATGCACTGGGCAAAGATTGAGTAAGTTTAACAATAGAGAGGGTCAGACACCTTGGGAACAATGATGAGAAATTGTAGTTCTTCAGAAATACCTTCAGAAGGCTGGACTAGCCCCTTCTACAAAGTTCAGCCAAGGAGACATTTGGAAAGTAGAGTTTCTATAAGAATGGGGCAGGACCAGGCATCTGGATGTTCAACAGTGTGTGCCAATACAACATCTGCAAAGTCTGGGCACCTATACAGACCATTATTGCACATAGATATTGAGCACTTGGGCACATTTGGGCACAGGAGAGATGTTGAATGAAATGTAATGAGAGTTTGCTGGCCTGTGCTTCCTGTGCACAGGGAATTGTGGGGAGAGGCAAAGAAGACCCCAAGAGTATCACTAGCATCCCCTGGGACCTCCTATAGGGTATGCAGATTAAGGCTCAACAGGATTTTCATTTGAGCCATGCTCCTGCGTACTGAACATGGAGGGACTTGGTAGGGCAGACTGTGCCACTCCTATAGTAGCAGTGGCTACTGGGATGTGATGTATAGACAGATGTTAGCAGACATCAAATTATTAAAAAATTAAAATTAACAACTGTAGAAAACTATGGGTCTCCCTGTACAAAGGGTGAGCTATCTAAAGCCACTCAGATTTATTGGGTGGGAAAATACACCTTTAAGACACAAATAATTCTTCACCCAACAGTCTGGAATGGTACTTACTGCCTGTGATTCCCTCGCCTGGCTGCACAGCTCCATTTAAATTAATTGCTTAAATACCTTATTATCTCATTGCCTAGAACAGCCCATAGGAGGGCAATAAAGAACTGCCTAAGTAAACACATAGTCTTGAGTCTTTCCTTCCTTCCTTCCTTCCTTCCTTCCTTCCTTCCTTCCTTCCTTCCTCTCTAACTAAAGAGAAACATGTTTTATGACTTTCCCTAAAGGATGGTAACACCTGAAATTGATACAAATCAACTTTTTTTTTCTTCTTTTTTTTGGTTTTTCGAGACAGGGTCTCCCTGTGGCTTTGGAGGCTGTCCTGGAACCACCTCTTGTAGACCAGGCTGGTCTTGAACTCACAGAGATCCGCCTGCCCCTGCCTCCCGAGTGCTGGGATTAAAGGCGTGCACCACCACCGCCCGGCTTAAATAAACTTGTTTTGGATCCAAACCAATCCAAGCCAGAAAACCTCATAGCAGCTCCTCTCAGTTCTGGCCCCTTGTTTTCTTCTGCAAATATGTGACCATTCATCCTGGTGTCTGTTGGTTCTTAGCCCCAGCTGCTACACTTGGTTTTATATTCTGTGCCTTTAGGTGTCTCTTTGCAATTCTAGGAGAACTGCCAGGTACTATCCAGTGTCAGATGGGACACACTGGGAAGCTTCCTGCTGGGTTACTGTTTCACAGAGGAACTGGGGAGCAACTTGAAATTCTGGTGTCACCTGGGGATAGAGGGATCTCCCTGTTTCAATCATAGGTCCCACACAGTGGTTAGCTTAAAGCAAGGAAGCCAAAGACAGAGGGAAGGACCAGGTCTTCCTTGCTAACTAGATAAACCCAGAACAAAGTGAGCAAGCGATAGAGCTAAAGACAGAACAGACTGGACATCAATGTCCTTAGGACCCTTAGCAGGAACAAGCCACTACTTAGTTAAAAAAAAAAAAAAAGATTTGGCTAGGTCCCTCTCAAAGTTTAGGGCCATGGTCTTGATTTACAGCAAATATTTACTTCAGTGTGGGAGACAGCTACAGATGGAAATAAACACAGGTGAAAAAAAAATCAAAGGATGCTGGGCCAGCGTGCACAGCAAATGCCTGCCGTGGTAACAGCAACCAATTGTAAGTTCATTAGGCAGCTTACATGCCCCACCTATCACAGCCCATCTCCTCCCAACAGCCTCATGAGACTGATAATTAGGCTCGAACTAGAGAAGGGGAAAGGAGCTTGGAATGGTGGGGTTGACATGTCTGAAAGTTAAGAAGTAGGGGGCTGGGTACAGAACCCTCATGTCTGGCCTCAAAGGCAAGACTCCTCCAATGGTCCCATGTCCTTGCCTTCCCTGTTAGACTGGTTAGGGGGAGGGATTTAAGATATGACTATGTGTCTGAAACTCCTTTACCTGTGGGTTACCTGACAAGAACACCACGAAAGAAACTTAGAAGACCATGGCTATTTAATGTTAGACACTTCTGGCTTGAAGCCTCAGCAGCCCAGAATCTGTATGATTTTAGCAGTGGATGTGAAAAAATGTTTAACTATTAGTACATACATGGATGTGTGA